ATGCATTCCAAAAATTGGGTCTTGACTCAGACAGTGTGAATGCTGAAGTGCAGGGTGTAGAGGGACGTAAGTCGACCGCTGGTAAAATGACAAACCTTACACTGCGACCACATTTTTCTGATGATTACGAACTCGAAACCGAAGCGCTTGTTATGAAAAAAATTAGAAACCTATCATATTTTAAAGACGATTTGAAGCGTTATGATTACCTTCAAAATCTTTTGTATGCAGATCCAACGATCAACGACGAAAATGAAATCGATTTGCTGTTGGATGTCGCGGCATTTACAGCAATTATAAAAAACGGCCTAATCAAGGGGCCGATCGATGCTCCGATTGCAGTAAATAGTGAATTGGGCTGGTTGATAATGGGCCCAGAAAAAAATGAAGCACGCAACACTCCAATAAAAATTACATCATTGATTTCAAATATAGAAATTGAACGAGAAATTTCGAATTTTTTCTTATCTGAAGATCTTGAATGCGTCGATAGTGATGAAAGTGAAACAGAACCGAGCGATGAAGAGCGTTGTCGTGAAGAGTATTACGTAAAAACAACAAAAAGAGACGACGACGGCAGATTAAATGTTTCAATGGCATTTACAACTGAAAACGGACCATGTCTCGGTGATTCACGTAAGATAGCGTTAGCAACTTTATTCCAATTGGAGAAAAAATTCGCGAAAAATCCAGAATTTCACAAACAATACGTTGCAACTATCAATGAATCCATTGAGTTGGGACATTTAGTGCTGGAAAAAAATCCACCAATCGACAGCCACTACATTCCCCACCACGCAGTGTTTAAAAATAGTACCACAACCAAGCTAAGACAGGTGTACAATGCCTCGAACAAAACGGCAAATGGAAAATCGTTGAACGAGCAATTGGTTGTGGGAAAAATCGATCAATCTTCAATCTTTGAATTGATCATGCGATGGAGAGAGCCAAAAATCGCTGTCATAGCAGATTTAGAAAAGATGTACAAGCAAATTCGCTTAAACGAAAACCAACAACATTTACAAATGATCCTATGGCGAGAATCTTGCGACGAGCCGATAAAAAGTTACAAAATGACGACAGTAACATTTGGTTTGAAGGATGCTCCATATCTTGCCATTAGATCTTTACACGAAATTGCTCAAAGGGTCAAGGAAAAATACCCACGAGCAGCGAAGGCAATTTTGAAATGCTTTTATGTTGACGACTATTCGGGTGGGGCCGAGACGGTTGATGAAGCATTGTCCATTCTACGTGAAATGAAGCAGGCATTTAATGAGTACGGCTTCAATCTGAGGAAAATCGTCAGTAATTCGCCTGAATTACTTGAAGCTATCCCTGAGTGCGACAAAGAGCAAAATGTAAGCATTGTTAAAGTGCTTGGAATTCCATGGAACCCGAAAAATGATGAATTTGTATTCAACATCAAATTAAATATACACGAACGGCCACGAACGAAACGACAATTAGCTTCAGAAATAGCAACAGTGCAATACGATCCGTTAGGATGGATCGCACCGGTCATCGTCAAAGCGAAAATTTTGCTTCAAAATGTGTGGAAGCTAAAACACGAAAATAATAAACCATACGCTTGGGATGATGATTTACCGATCGAAATTGTGAATGAATGGATGAGCTACAAATCGCGATTGAGCGTAGTAAATTCAATTGTGATACCACGGTGGCTCGGCACAGCAACAAAAATGAAGGTGGAATTGCATGGATTTTCTGATGCGTGTGCAAAAGCAATTTCGGCCAACGTCTACATTCGATTCGCAAGTGAAGAATCGATTCGAGTGGTGCTGATAGCAGCAAAAACAAAACTGGCACCCATCAACGAGCAAACAATTCCAAAATTAGAATTGTGCGGAGCGGAATTGTTAACGAATTTAGTGAAAGCTACGCGAACGAAAATGAGTTTTAACATCAACGCAACAATTTTATGGAGTGATTCAAAGGTGGCCTTGGCGTGGATTAAATCTAATCCACAAAAGTATAAAAAATTTGTCGCCAATCGAATCAAACGTATCAACAAACTGAAAAACGTCGAGTGGCATCATATCGCCGGGAAACAAAATCCAGCAGACTGCGCATCGCGTGGAATTTTTGGTGACGAACTGGCTAATCATCCACTTTGGTGGTTCGGCCCAGCAATATTACACGAAAACACCGATATTATTTACAACGACGACTTAAATTTTGAAACATCGAAAGAACAAAAACTGAATGTATTGCTTGTTCAAAGTGATAAAGGGTGTTTTATCGACGACAATTTACCATTAGTATCTTCGTGGAACAAAATGATAAGAGTGTTCGCTTATGTGAATAGGTTTATTTGTTACACACGAAAAATGAATGTAAAAAAATATGAAAAAGGTACTCTGATTACAACGACCGAGCTAGAGCAAGCCGAAACGAAAATCATTCGAATCGTACAGCATGTGTATTATGAAAATGAAATTGAAAAATTAAATAAAAACAAAAAAATTGAAAAAACCAGTGAACTTCTAAAGTTGAATGTGTTCATCGATACGAATGGTCTGTTACGCGTGGGTGGTAGAATAAAAAACTACGACATACCATTTAACACCAGACACCCGATTTTAATTCCAAAAAAAAGTGGAATCTCAATTTTAATCATTCGTGATATGCACAAAAATAATTTTCACGCTGGCCCAAGGTTGACCGAATCACTTATCCGACAGAAATATTGGATAGTCAACGGTCTTTCGGCGGTAAAAAAACAACTCAACGGGTGTGTCACATGCCGTAGACACAACCCAAAAACAATGCAACAAAAAATGGCAAATTTACCTGCGGTTAGAACAACAGTCGTAAGCAAGCCATTTACAAACACAATGGTTGACTTTACGGGAGCAATTTTCATCAAAACATCGAAACTCCGAAATGCAAGAGTAGTAAAGGCGTACATTTGCATTTTTGTATGTATGTCAACGAAAGCGTTGCACGTTGAGTTGGTCAGTGACATGTCAGCTGACGCATTTATTGCTGCACTACGACGTTTTATCGCGAGACGGGGTGAAGTAAAAGTGATATTCAGCGACAATGGAACCAATTTTGTGGCTGCAAATCGATTATTAAACGAATTAAGTAACAACGAAAATGAGGAATTCAACACGCGAATTTCAAACGAATTGTCAACACAGAGAATAACATGGAAATTCTCACCACCGGGCGCACCACATTTCAATGGCCTGGTAGAAGCTGGCGTAAAAACAGTAAAAATGCATCTAATGAAAGTGATGGGAGAACAAAAATTCACATTCGAAGAGTTAACGACGATTCTAGCGCAAATTGAGTCGGCAGTTAATTCAAGACCTCTGACTCCAATTTCGTGTGATGTAAACGACATCCAAGTGTTGACGCCTGCACACTTACTTATAAACTCACACCCAACAGCAATCGCCAGCGAAAACTTGGATGAATGCAAGATCAGTTATCTCGACCGCTGGAAAAGGGTACAACAAACGGTACGTGAGTTCTGGAAAAGATGGCAGTGTGAGTATTTACATACGCTGCAGCAACGAAAAAAATGGCAAACGATTAAAAACGCCATAAAAGAAAACGACATTGTGCTTTTAAACGATCAGTCATCACCCGTGGGCCAATGGCCCATGGGCCGAGTCATTAAAGTACATCCAGGCCAAGACGGACTGATAAGAGTGGCAACGATAAAAACATCGCACAATACTTTGACACGTCCATTAACAAAGTTGGCTCCACTTCCGATCGACGATGCCAACGAAATACCAAACTCATCAACGATTGAAAATGATTTAAAAAAATCTACCAACCGTACTCAAAATATGGGTACATCTTCAATTACGGCATTACTGACCACCGCAATGACAATAACGCCAGTAAATGCAACTACGTCCGCAAAATCCATTGAAACAACAACGACAACGATCATCGGAGTATGCATGTGTTTAACATTCATCGCATGTGTACTCATATTCTCAAAACAAATACGAAAACTCGCAACGTCGGCTATGTTAATTTTCGTAATGGCCATTTCAATGTATTGTCCAGCGGCAAATGCAGCTCCATTACCTAGTTCTGGGTTTTGGATAGCCGGACAATACGTTGACAAACTGGAAGCCGAAGACAGGCAAATGCAAGAAAGAATAACAAAATTGACGAACGATACAATCACAAGTATCGAAGGAATCGACGATAGCGTGTCAGAAGTAAAAACAACGCTCAAAATTTACATAGCATTGAATATTTGTACGAACATGATCATCCACATCGTCATGAACTGGTGGAGATCGCACAAACGCAACAAAAACAAAAAAACATTGAAACGTCTGGCAAAATGCGGTTGTATGCACTGCGTAAACCAACTACATTCAAAAAAGCGCTTACGTTCAGTAAAATCCGAGAACCACTGTAGACAACAAATACAATCAACCAGCACAACAGCCGAAGCTACGATTGTAGATAAAAAGGAAATCAAATTTCACGATACAAAAAACGGACAGGCACTAGTACCCCGAGGAATGAGACACACATCCGTAGAACATCGTGCTAAAAACAACGTATCGATCATAATGCCATGGGAAAAATAACATTAAATAAGATTCTTCCAATATGACATTTTCGTTTAAATCGGATGAATGAAATTTTAATCACGAAATCAATACTATTTTTTTCTCATTGTAAATCAAAATATTGTTTAAAATTCTAAATTGTTATTAAATTTGTTTGTTTATATCAAGTTTGGCCCGGGAGAATGTTCAAGAACATATTGTTAAATTCAGCATATTGTTCATACAAAGTC